TACTGCAAAAGTAATAATAATACTTTGTAGGTCTTCAGGAATTATACTGTGTAAGAATTTTATGTGAGGAATCCTATATAATAAAGAGCTAATATGCAAATGGTCATCACGCCCTCATGTCATCATGCCCTCATGTCATCACGCCCTGTCACGCCTTAACTGCTCAGACACTCAACACTGGGAAGAGAAGAATGGAGACCAGCCAGGCACAAATGAGCTCACGAGAGAGGAATGGGGACCACCCAGGCTGCAGCCCGGGAGAAGGACAAGCTGCCCGCCCCGCGGTCCCGTGTGCCAGTGGCTGGGGCTGGGGCCCGGGAGAGGGACAAGCCACCCGCACCACGGTCCCAGGCACCTGCAGCTGCAGCTGCAGCCCAGGTGAAGCCGCCCACCCACAATCCCCTGCAGCTGCGGCCGGCCCTGGTGAAGCTGGCCCAGGTCCTGGGTGCCTGCGGCCGGCCAGAGGGAGGGAAGCCCAGGTCCCACGTGCCTGTGACCAGCCAGAGGAGGAACTCCTGGGTCCTGGGTACAGGGTGAGGCAGAGGCAGTTAGGGGCAATCAGGCCAGCAGGGGAGCAGTTAGGGGCGATCAGGCTGGTAGGGGAGCAATTAGGGGTGATCAGGCAGGCAGGCAGAGGTGGTTAGGGGTGATCAGGCAGGCAGGCAGGTGAGCAGTTAGGAGCCAGCGGTCCCAGATTGTAAGAGGCAGTTGGACATCCCCCGAGGGGTCCCAGATTGGAGAGAGTGCAGGCCAGGCTGAGGGACCCCCTCCTCCACCATGCACGAATTTTGTGCACTGGGCCTCTAGTCTATATATATAAAAGGTTAATATGCTAAGTGTCCATCCGACTGGTAGCTATGACACGCATTGACCACCAGGGGGCAGACATTCAACGCAGGAGCTGCCAAGCTGCAGTGACTTGGCAGGGGCAGTTCTAGGGTGATGCACTCCGGAACCAGAGAGGAGGGAGCCCAATTCCTCATGAGGACACGTGATTCCACCTTCAGCTGTGGGTTATGTTGTTGCCAGGGCACTGTTGACCCCGAATCTGGTTTACTGCACACTTGCTTTTGTGTTCCACACCCTGTATGACAGCAACTTTGCAGAGTGCCCTCTCGCATTCCAGGACCCCTCGGGGGATGTCAGAGAGCTGGTTTTGGCCTGATCCCTGCAGGCCAAGCCGAGGACCCCACCTGCCAGAGGGACCCTGCTCACTCCGCAGATGCCCTTTGAGCCACACCCCACCCAGGTACGGCCAGTTGGGGAGGGACCGTGGGAGGTTGGCTTCAGCATATGTCCGGCCCCTCTCACCCAGTCCAGCCCCGCCAGTCACCTTCTAATTAATTTCCTGTCAATGTGCATGAATCTGTGCACCGGGTCACTAGTAATATATAACAGTGTCTAATGATATCATCAGAGTCAAGATGGATGTAAATTAGTCGACAAACAGAAACAGCATCAGGGAAAAAAAAATTCCAGTTTTCAGTTAATAAAGTGGTAGGTAGTTCTTGTAGAAATAATAAAGAGATGCAATATCATCCACTGGACATCCTTTAGGGAAACTAAAGGATATTCTAAACTATGCATTTACTTAATTTTTTTTTAAACAATGCATTTAAATGCTTTTTTTAAATTGTGGGAATAAATGTATCCTAATCTGTCATACGGTGGCACTAAATCATGCCGTGGCAGGTGAAACTGCCATGAAGACCCTATCACTAGTCATAACTAGGGACATATTTTTTAAACAGTGCATTTAAATGCTTTTTTTTAATTGTGGGAATAAATGAATCCTGTTCTGTCATACGGTGGCACTAAATCATGCCATGGCAGGTGAAACTGCCATGAAGACCCTATCACTAGTCATAACTAGGGACATAAGGGAGAACTAAAGAAAGCCTCCTGGCACTTACGAAGCTCCATGCCTCAGACACTTGGAACCTTCCCCGAGGTTGCTCCCCCTTTCAAGGACTTGTCTCCCTCATTCAGAAACTGAAGCAGCCAAACTAAGCTCATCTAAACCACATGCCACTGAGATCATACCCCCAGATGCCATTAAATTCAATCTTGTATAGTAATGTTTTCCTCCACTGGGTCTCCACTGTCCAGTGATGACCATTCTTGGTGAGAACATCTCTTAGTCAACTCAAGCTGCCATAACAAAATACCATAGGTTGGGGGGGTTGAACAGCAGATTTATTTCTCAGAGTCTGGAGGGCTGAGAAGGCCAAGGTCAAAGTGACGGCCAGCTCGGCCCTCTACCGGCCCGAAGATGGCTGCGTTCTCTCCGTGTGCTCGCCTTTCCTCGGTGCATGCATGTGGAGGGAGATGGTGCCTGTAAGGCACCATCGCGTCTGGCCGGGCCCTGCCCTCCTGACCGCCTGCCCGAAGATGGCTGCGTTCTCTCCATGTGCTCGCCTTTCCTCGGTGCATGCATATGGAGGGAGAGAAAGAACAAGCTCGCTGGTGCCTCTTCCTGTAAGGGCACCATCGCGTCTGGCCGGGCCCTGCCCTCCTGACCTCACCTAAACCCAATTACCTCGCAGGTGTGTGAGCAGTGCTTGCAGGGGGTCCTGCCCCAGCCCTCCCTGTGGAGAGCAGCTATACGGGAACCACCCCATTGGCGAGATACTATAATCATTGAGCGTGTGGACCACCCTAAGGTCAGTCAGAAGTAAAAGTAAAGGTTAAAAATATCTTCTATTGTTTTAAATTGACAACATGAAGACAGACGATAACATGGCGGGGACGGGGGGAGGATGTGTTCTTTCAAAGCAAATTTTAAAAACCTTGGCTGCAGGTAGGTAGAGGCTTACTTTGTATCCCCTGTCCCCTCAATTGACATAATGTGGGCAGCACATATGCTGCTCCTTGGAGCACAGAAGAAGCACTGAGATGTTAAAGCACTGAGAAAGTCCATTTGATGTTAAAGCCAGTGAACTCAGCACCTAAAACTCACGGAAAAACATTGCAACCTAGCCCAGCTGGTGCAGCTTAGTAATTGAGCGATGACCTATGAACCAGGAGATCACGGTTCCATTCCCAGTCAGTGCACATGCCCAGGTTGTGGGCTCTATCCCCAGTAGGGGGCATGCAGGAGGCAGCCGATCAATGATTCTCATCATTGCTGTTTCTCTCTCTCTCTCTCTCCCTTCCTCTCTGAAAGCAATAAAAATATGCTTTTGTTCCGGCCCTCCGGTCCAGTTTAAGAACCCCAATTGGCCCTCGAGTCAAAAAGTTTGCCCACCGCTGGTCTAATAGATAGTAAAACTTATTTAAGAAATCATATTTTATGTCATGTATCTTCCTTTGTTTTCATATTTTCTGTGGCTCCAAAGGGCTGTTGTGATAAATAGTAAATCACATTTTTTCCTCTTTGTTTCTTCCTGGTTCACATTATCTGGAAACTGGAAACTAATCATATCCTGGCTCACACATTGTGAATGCCTCACTTGATGTGGAACATAAGAGATTAAAATAGGAGTGTGATAAGTAGGTGTTCTGTTTTACAACAGAGTCATGGAAAGTCAGAGCAAGAAGTGTTCTCAGAGATCATCCAGCCCAATCTCTTCTTTTTCACGTCAGGAACCTGAACTCACAGAGGTGTTGAAACTTGCCCTTTGTCCTGGAGTACACATTTAGTAAGAGACCTATTTTTAAACATTTGTGTCTCAAAGAGGTCTCATTCCCCACCTTGCTGATCACTGGGAATAAAAAAGGTTGCACCTGAGAACTCTGGAGCTAAACATAAAATAAAATAACATTACCCCCCAAATTACTTGGTTCTGGGGTTGGCAGAAACGGGGTGGGGAGGGATGCTCTGGTACCTAGAATTCTAAGTGACTCGTAAAAAACAAAAGCTGTAGCATCGCTGTGTGGCTGTGAGGCAGAGGGCAGACATGTCCACTGTGGAGTCTTCTATCCCCTGCCCCCAGGTGAGCAGAGAGAACCCTGCCGGTACCTGCTGCCCAGTCAGCACCTCCTCAGGCCCATCCATTCCCCTCTTAGGGCTTTCCAGCTCACATCTTACTCCCTAGACACTGGGTGCTCTGCCCAGACGCAGGAAAGTAGTGCTGAGGATGGGAGAATGTTGGTTCCCTCTCCCATCAGGAAACCAAATGGGAACCAGAAAAAAACGTGTATCAAATTTATCAAAGGGAGTTATTTATTTATTTATTTTTAAATATACTTTTATTCATTTCAGAGAGGAAGGGAAAGGGGGGTGGGATAGAGAGGGAGAGAGAGAGAGAGAGAGAGAGAGAGAGAGAGAGAGAGAGAAACATCAATGAGAGACACATCCATCAGCAGCTGCCTTCCGTAGGCACCCCGACCAGGGACTGAACCCACAACTTGGGTATGTGCCCTGATCAGGAATTGAACCTGTGTCCTTTGGAATATGGGGCAACACTCTAGCCAACTGAGCCACACTGGCCAGGCAAAGGGAGTGATTTATTATGTGGAATCCCCAGTTCCTTAGAATTCGCCAAATAGTGAAGTTATTTTCACTATTTTAAAAAGACTATTGGAAATCACACATCGGTCCACACCGATGCTACACAGACTAACTATAGCATCAGGTTTCCTCCCTTTGACCTGAATCATATTGTCACTCAGTAGGATTATCTCAGGCTTATCAGGAACTCTGCATAGAAGTTAAAGATACCTTAGTACTAAAAATGAAGAAATCATTATATAAAAAAAAATCAAGAAGAAAAAAGAAAAATAAATAAAAAGGAAATTTAAAAAGAAAAAAGAAAAAACAAATAGAAAATAATTTAAAAAAATAATAATAATAAAGAAATCACTACCTAGTAGAAGAAAATCAGGTCCCTTGAAGGATAAGACAAAATGATAAAAGGTATTTTTGTGGACATAAAAAAGGTTTGGGAGTACTGATTTTCAACCAAAGAAAACTTCATACTGAGGGACTCTTCAAAAATTATCTATGAGAAAGCCCCCTCCCCTAGCCCAGCCCTCCCCTGTTCCATGGGATCACTCACTGGGCAGGGCAGGGAAGCTTTCCTGTAACCGGTGTCCTGTGCTCCTCGGCGGGCCCGGAGTCCTCTCTCATCCTCCTCTGTCCAGCTGTGACCCCAGAAGCTGCTCATCCACTTGGCAAAAGACACATCATCATCATCATCATCATCTCTGTGCTCCATGGAGAGGTGATTCAAAATAGCCAAGGCCTGTCCCTAAATCTGGCAGAGAGGAATATTGTCAAACTCAGCTGACTTGATGAAACCTAGGATCTCCCCAAAGACAAAAAAAGAAACTGGTGTTTTCAAATGGTCTCCGAAAATGGATCCTTAAAAGGAGAAAGATTTACTAAACAACCCCTTCACCATCAGGCAGCCCGG